TAGCATTCTCAGTTTGGTTTATGTTTTGTGCCAGCAATAAAGCTGAGGTTCTTTGAGTTTGCCATTCAGTCTCCAAGAGTCCTGCATTTGGATCCTCACCTCCACCTGCCCGCACACAGAGCCCTGACAGCAGCAGCCTGAACTATTGATACAAGGCACTCTTACATGTTGTTTACACCAAATTCGGACCCTTCCATCCGAATGTCGTAGCAGAAATCAAGACTCACCAGACCAGGCAATGATTTTCCAGCCTTCTATTGTGCCATTTTTATTGAACTGATCTGGTTAAATAGCTCACTAAACAGTATATGGTTTGTGGGAAGAGAGTTCTCCCACATTTGTGCTCGCAACTGTCTCAGAAATCTTGGAAATACCAAATCCCACAAAATGATCAAAACATCCAGCCCTCAGTGCTTCACTGCAGCGCTGTTCTTTTTACTCTTTACTCAGAGAGAAAGTCTTTAAGAGCGGTTCTTCAATATGAAATATCATTTTTAAAAAAGCTTTGAGCAGCGAGCTTTGTAGTTTTGAGGATTTTTGGAAGATACTGCTAATACAAGAGGAAACAGTGCACTCGTATTGTCAGCTACACTCCGAGAGCACATTTATTTAGGGCACGGTCTACGGCATCCATGCTCTCTGTAATGACACCTCAAGTCACGTATTTCAATAGTGTGTTTTTTTTAAACAGCCTCTAAGAACAGAAGGCACGGCAGAACGAGCTGTTTCAAATTTGGCTACACGGGCAACACGTGTTAGCAGGATGACATCATCCTTCGTTTTGGTTCACGCGAACCGCCGCGTCGCCGATAATATAAAATTACATTATTATAAAGAGTGTCGCCAGCCTCATCTGTTTAAAGTGAGGACGTGTGTGAAAGAAAACCACATGTTGCACTCATCCACACAAATTTAAAACTCAGCAGGTTGAAGCTGCAGTCATCAAACAATGATGGATTTTGATGGAAGTGTGAGGTTAGAGATGAATAGTGCATTAGCCGCCGGTCATGCGTGAAAATACCTTCATTACCGAGTTGAGTGTATGAACTGTCAAAGCAGGGAATACGCCAGGCTTCAGCCTGCTCACACGCACAAATGTAAACACTCGACTTTTCTACTCATTTCCAGCGTTGCCAGCCCCTCCAACGTCACTTGACACTGCAATGTTGTTAGCATATAATCGCAGTGAAAGGTAGGTAGTACATCCTTTCTCCCCCTCTGGGTAAGAAAGTGGTGGAATAGGGAAGACTAGCTTTGATGTGGAGTGGAGGTCGTGCACGTAACCCGAGCGCTGCTCTGCTTCCTGCATGACTAACATGTGCATATGCAGGTTTATATAATTAGTCCGTGCATGGGTAAGATGTTCCACAGGGGGCAAATAGAAGAAAGCACAAAATACTGAATCTTCTACTTTAAAATCGAAGATCGTGTGAAGCGAAGCAAATGAGCGCTAACTGATTAAAAGTTTTCTTTTCTTGGTGCTGCTGTGAATTATGGCCCAACATTTCACATCGGTTTTTGCCACAGTTTATCTAAAATGACAAATAAGTAAACAAGACAAGACGGAATTAAAAAGCAATGTAAATTTTTTTAATCAATCCAAGTCACAGGAGACCTTTGTCTACAGTTATGCCTGTAACATCTTTTTTTGCCTTATGTTGGACCAACAAACCCCAATAAAGCTGAAAAAAAGAATAAATAAGAACATGGATGTAAGCTGGTTTTAAATATGTACTTTTAGCTCAAGCCTCCTTCCAGACTGCACCTGGCAACCAGTCATTCGTGGACGGTAATTTTGAAGACTTTTAATTTATTGCCATGGCCATCTTTGTTTAGTAACCAAATGGATCACATTTTAATCAGAAGTAGAGATGGGCAGTTATCTGCTAACAGTACCAGCTGCTAGCCTTTGCTGGTAGATCATTTTAAGTTGGATTCCAGTGAATCAACACCACTACCACCTCATCTTCCATTTCTCCTTTACCTCCTTCCTGCAATAATTTCGCTCTTGTGCAATATCACAGCCAATAGAGCAATATCTTAGATCATCAGAATCCTTTGTGTAATAGTGTCTATTGTCGGTTAAGTCATTGTGAAATTGCAAAATTCTTGAAACTCACTTGTTGTTACCATACCTTGCGTAGATGGGAATTGATAAGAATTTAGCAATTTCGATTCCATTATCAATATCACTTATTGATTTGATTCTCTTATCGATTCTCCTTGTGTTCTCACTGGCTCTGCTTTGTGTAACCACTATCATTAAGTAGCATATCAAAGATATTACATTCCTGCAAATTAATTCTTGCTGTGTGGTCAAATGTCTGTGCATGTTGGGGGTATTTCTCTGATTTTTTTTGGAGGCTGCAGCCTGACTGCTCATCAGTTTGTTGCCTGTTCAAGTTCAATGTCTGGCTGCTGGGCTGGGGTCAGGGTAGCATTAGCAGGCTGTCTGGCTAACTTAGCATTAACATGCTATCTGTGCAGATGATTGCAAGGAGTGAAGTTGTGTTTACAAAATAGTGTACTTATTTCTGTCCTGGATGCAGTTTGCGCTTTACCATCACAATATCATTCTTTTGAGCAATAAAAATGAAAGCAATGTCCATATCCATGCTGAAGACTACACCACTGTTTTCCTAATCCTGCACTTGAACTGAAATCAGCTAATTGTAGTACAAGTGCAACCAATAAGCAGGATCATTAGGCCAGCAAACTAATAGTTCCAAGGAATTAGCATTCTGGGAACTGGTTCTCAATTCCCATCCCTACTATATAATATAATATATAGTACATTTTAAATAGTTAAATGCAAATGACTGCATGTTTGTTCTTTATTTTTCTTTTTGCTTCTGAAGGTGTAGCCTCTCTGCAGTTTTGTTATATGTTGCATAATAGCAACAAAAGACTTCTAAGTCTAATTCTAATCTCCTTGTAGCACCATTATCATGCTTTCATTTGCATACAATTTTCTTTTATGCTCAAATACTCAAGATTTCCATTTAAAGGTGGACTCAAATACAGACCAAACCACAGAGTAAAACAAAAAGCGAGCTTTATTAAAACCTGATAATTAAAGTCCACAGAAGCAACAAAAGGTAAACAAGTCCAGAAGGGAGAAAGAAAAGCCCCAAATAACAGACAACACACACATTTAGACATGAAGCCTGGAAACGCTGAAAACTGACACAAGGGAACCGGGAAGTACAACAGACGATCCAGCAAAGACAAAGAAGCAGACGGGAATATTTATACACAGAGGGCTGATTAGGGAATCAGAAACAGAAGGGCAACGAGACGCTAGTGAAAACAATCAGGAGGCAAAACTTCCAACATGAGAACAGAAAGCTAAACTGAAACTCAAACACAAATGTGTTCAATAAAAATTGAAAGAAGAAATCAAAGATTTAAAAAAAGGAACCGTGCCAAATATCTGCAAACCTAAAGAGATTTCCATCAGCTGCACTGCATCTTGTGATAGCCTTAACGGTTATTAGTTAAAGCTGGCATGCTAACAGGTTAAACTGAGATGAGGGCATGGTCAGCTTTTATAATAACAATAATAAATTCTATTTTTTTGGCACCTTTAAAACACTAAGGTTCACCTAATACAACATCAGAATAGCAAGAATAATAGGAGAGATTAAAACCTTGGAATAATATTTGTGTAAAACATGTCAAACACTATGGTTATAGTTGACCCACTGATGTGAACAGATGAGTTTTGAGCTGTGATTTGAACTGTGTAATAGAGTCTAGTTGACGGAGGTGAAGTGGAGGTGAGTTCCAGTGCAGCTAAAGGCTCTGGCACCCGTGGTGTTAAGTCTGAAGCGAGAGGGGCTCAGGAGTGGAGCTTAGGCTGAGCAGAGAAAGGGTGTGAAAGGATGATGGAGGTCTGAGAGTTATGGAGGGGGGTGCCATGAAAGTGAGGAGCAGGATGTGTTAGGGAAAAGTGAGTGAATGAAGCGGGATCATCATAAATGTAATATGATTGGGTGAGTTCTGAACCATTTGAAGTTGATTAAGAAGTTCTGAGGGGGATAATCCAAACAAGAGGTGGCCAGGGCGCGACCCAGAACTTGTGAGGTGTTGAGAAAGAAAAAGGGCGTAGACTAGAAATGTTGCGTAGTTGGAAGAAGGCTGAATGTGAGACATTATTAATGTTGGCGGTAAAGGAGGGAGAATGGCTCCAAGATTTCCGAAATAAGCAAAAGTGTGGACTTGAAAACATGTATAGAAACAATATTGACTTTATTTTGAAAGTGAGTCTAAGCATCAGTGTCTTACACGCATGTTTTAAAGAACTTCTGGTAGTTCTTTACACAGCTTAAGGTGAGATCTCTATTCTAGTCGCCCTTTAACAGAAGGCCTCATTGTGGACAGACTAAAAAAGGCTGCTGACACGATGCTGTTCTCATTACAGCAGCTCTGTCACGTCTCCTCGGAGGGAGGACGTTTGTAAATAATCCATCGTAACTTCTTTCTCCTGATAAGTTGTTTGGTGGTTTTACATGACTGACCTTCCCTTAACCGCTTCGTGACTCCTGGAGCAAAAAAAGAGCTTTCTTTTTTTTTTCCCTTGCAGAAAAATGTTTTGACTCCTGCTGCAAAGTTGCTACCCTGCAATAAATATCATTGAACCAGGTGGCCATCTTAATTGTGCACTCAGTAGCATAGTAAATGTGATGAGGCTCTCTGATTATGAATGTCACCTTGTCTGTGTTAGAATATTCATAAATATCTTTAAGATATCAAAAGGGTTTGCATCACATGCGCTCTGTGACTGAGCCACAGAGTATTGGTGCATATTCTGTGGTGCAGTCAGACAGCATTAAAGGAGGATGGTAAACTCTGAGCTACAGACAAGACTATATTTGTTTCTCTGGCTTGCAGGAGCTGGATACGCTCCATAATCATCTGTGCCCTACCTTCCAGTTCTCCCTCATGCTGTATGACTCATGACCTTATTTGCTGATTGGCTCTGTGTATCTCGTTTCCAGGACGACCACTCCATGTTTTTCCAGTTTGGTCCAGCCATCGAGCAGCAGGCCTCCGTCATGTTGAACATTATGGAGGAGTATGACTGGTACATCTTTTCCATAGTCACCACGTATTACCCTGGTTACCAGGACTTTGTCAACAAGGTAAATAAATACAAAAAACAGACGCTTTCAATTATACTGCATCATGAATTTGTTACTATGTAGCCAATGTGTTAGACAGACTGTACCATGACCTAAAAAATGAGTCTTTGTCAGATATTTGCTTTAATAATGCACCAAAAGGCACCGACAATGTGCAGTAAAAAAGATGGACGTAGCTACCATTAAGTGACATCACTCATTGGTTTTGACTTGTGCATTTTGAAGCTTCAGCAATTTGTCTTGTTGGTTTTATTTAGTCACACCTTTATGAAGGTGTGGATTGCTAAGTTATTGCCTCACTGCAATGAGGTCCCAAGTTCGACTCCACCACCTTTCTGTGTTGGGTTTGCATCGACAAGAACACCCAGCCTCGTCCTGTGGCAGCTGGGATAGGCT